ATTATTAAATCTTTTTTTCTGAGAAGTTATATCCTCAGTGTTAAGACAATGATCTGAAAAAATTAAAAAAAATTTAAAAAAAAAAAATATTAAAAAAAAAAGGTGTTTAAGGCAGCGCGGGGGCAGGGGGGAGATATTCCCTTTGTGAAATGTCTTTTAATATTCCTGTGGGCTGGCACAAAGCGACAGGGTTGCTTAGCAAAGGCATCCAGCCCGATCCCGGCTCCGGGAAGGAGGCACGTGCTTTTCCTGGGCTGCAGGAATTCTGGCTGTCGGAGCACGAGGCGAAGGGGGACCCTGAATAAATAAGAAAAAGCCTTGGATGGGGTTTTCCAACCCTGGGGAGATGTGTAGTTGGAGGGATGATCTCAGCTGAGCGGGATGAGGTTGTCGTTGTCACCGAGGGCAGGGGATTTGCTCCTCTTCCCTCCCTTTTCCTAGAATCCACGGCGAGCTGGTGGGGCGGGGAGCATATGGCGTTATTTAGGGGGATTAAGAGGGCTGAGAGATCCTAATTTCCCCGTGTTGGGTCAGGGGGGGAGATGCTGAGGTTGTCGGAGCCGGGACAGGACGGGTCGGTGGGTCGGTGGCTGACGAGGGGGGGGCTCTTCTCCCCCGTGGATGCTGCGTGGGGCTGCTCACGCCTCGCACGCCGCAGGAAAACGTGCCAGAAGAGGTGACAGGTACCGTTTCCCCCCCTCTGAGGGGGAAACTGAGGCATGGGGAGGCAGTTTGGGCAGTTGGGCAGTTTCTTTCTTTCCAGGAAAACGTGCCAGAAGAGGTGACAGGTACCGTTTCCCCCCCTCTGAGGGGGAAACTGAGGCACGGGGAGGCATCCCAGGGTGTTGGGCAGTTTCTTTCGGTTGTTTTCTTGCAGAATTACCTTCCAACCTAGAAGAAGATTCTGTGATTCTTTTGGTTGTTTTGTTGCAGAATTATCCCCCCTCCCCGCCCAGATTCCCTGCGAGGATTTGGGATTTTGCTCTCGGGAGATGCCCAGCGCGTTGCTCCGTGCTCCGGGGTGGGTTAAGAAGAGCATCCCCAGCACCAGGCTTTTGGCTGGGGTGGGATGAGGGGCCAAACTGGCTCCTCGGGGGTGCCTGCTTGGGGTTGTGAGGTCGTGGTGGGGTCGTGCGTGGCCTGTGTCACACCAGCGTGGTGCATTTCACCACCCAGCCCCTGGTCCCTCAACCTCCCCCATCCTCGGAGGCGGCCGAATTCGGCGCCGTCACGGGGAAGAAAATGTCAGGGAGAACCTTGGGATGCTGCTCAGTGGGTTTGGATGTCAAACCCAAGCTTATGGCACTGGAAACCCATTTTTTTTCCAGGAAGGGGTGATCCATGGCGCTTCCCCAAATCTCCAGCCACGTGAGGGCTGCGTGCGGGTTTGGGGAATACGGGGGAAAAATGTTGTTTGTGGCCACGTGAAGGAGGGAGCCGGGAGCGGAGCCGCCTGCGTGTACTTTGAGACCTGCTCCCGCTCCCTTATCAGCCTGATCCTGCCCTCACGCTGCTCCCTGCCCCAAAACGCCGGCTTTTCTACCCGATATTCACCCGATGGCGGTGCCCAGCACTGGGCTGGCGTCTGACGGACCGTGCTCTGCCATCCTGGGAAGTTTTAGGGGTGGGATCCTGCGGGAGAGGAGCGGGATGCTGCATCCCTCCACGCGTTCCCCAGTGATGGTCCTGCCATGGACCGGGGGGGCTAGTGTGCCCCTTGGGGTGGCACGGTGTGGACTCCTTGCCACCCAACGCCGCTTGCCAGGGTGGTTTAGAGCCACGGGTGCTGGGCTGGGCAACCAGGTCCTGCCTTTCCTGCAGCTCCAAGGAGGTCACCTGGGGGTAAACAGCCAGATTTTGCCCCATCTCCTGCCCGTGGCCATCCCGGCCGTGCCATGGGTGGGTGGGAGGTGGCGGTTCCTCCTGGCAGGCAACCTCGGGATGGGTGACACATTATTTTGCTCCAGGCTTTGTGTGTGTGTGTGTGTGTGTGTGTAGGGGGGGGTCACATCAGCTGCCACACACTTTCCACGTCCTTTGAAAGAAGCGCTGGACCGCACGACGGCGGCGCGGGGAGATGCTGACAGCGATTTTCCACTCCATTTTTGGTACCAAAACGGGCAATTAGGTGATGGAGGGGCAGAAGAGAGGGCGAGCAGCCCCAGCTCCTGCCTTCAGGGGTTTGGCAGCTCGTCTCTAACCCCCGAGGCTGGTTTTCCAGCCCCAGGTTTTCCCGGTACCCATGGAGTGGAGGGATGGGACCCAGCTGGAGGTGATGCATCAGGAGAAGGGGGGTTAAAGTGGCGCAAGATGGTTGCGGAGCCGAGGGTGGAGCGGGCGGAAACAGGAAACGACGGCCTCCCTCTGTGTCACCATTACTGGAACTTGCTTCGTTAAAAGCTTTGTTTTCACTTCCAAAATGAAACCCAGCGAGCAGGGGCCAGCCCCTCGTGTGTCCCCCCCCCCCAGCCCTTGGGGTGTCCCCCTCCCTGCAAGAACTCCCTTCATCCCTGCAGAGGGACCGAATGGTGAAGAAACACCGAAGCTGGGTGCTTTTTTGCAGCCCTCCTGGTTAACAGAGTTGGGTTTTCTTGTCGTGCCTCAGTTTCCCATCCGGCGGCGGCGGCAGAGGTTGTGGTTTAGCTCTTGGCCCCCCCCGGCGTGGGTGCTGGGGCTGTGAGTTTGCAGCTGTGGGTGCTGCAAGCGGTGTTGAAGCAAGAAAAGCAACCGGAGGGGCCAGGCAGGGGTGAAGTTTTAAGGGGGGAGAAGATTTTTACCTCCCCCCATGGCATCACAGCTCGGCTCCCTTGTGGAGCAGGAGGCTCCGAGCTGCAGCTCAGAGCGGTCAGAGGGTGCGTGTCCCAGGGGGACACTCAGGGACCCCCCCATCCTGTGTGCAGGGAGGGTGCAGCCGGCAGAAGAGGGGTTTGGGGGGTTCCCAAGCCCCCTCCGTGGATGCCAAATTGGCCAAGATGTTCAGTCCCATCCTGTGTGCAGGGAGGGTGCAGCCGGCAGAAGAGGGGTTTGGGGGGGTCCCAAGCACCCTCCGTGGATGCCAACTTGGCCAAGATGTTCAGTCTTGAGCAGAAGAGTTGGGGGGTCTTGGTTTTAGGGTGGGAGCAGGAAGAGCCCCGTGGTGGGGGGGATGCCAGGGGGAGGTGACAGGGTGCTGGGTGTCACAAGCATCTGAGGATGCCCCAGGAGCTCTGGCCACGTGTCACCACGTACACGGTGGTGGCCACAGGGACCGCGTGGTTGCCAAGCACCATCCTTTGCTTCTGTTTTGGGGGATCTGGGGAGAATCCCTTCGCCCCGCGCTCACCCTTTTGATTTTAGGGGTGCGTCTGGCCACGGCATGATGTTAAATGACATCCTTTAATTAGTGACATCCGTGCAGGTTCCCCTTCCCAGCCTGGCGAGGAAATCCTTTGCAGAATTTGCAGCCCGAGGAAGGGCAGACAGAGGAAGGGGAAGGTTGTCCTCGTGCTCGCACCCCAGCTTCTGCTCTGGGCTGTGGATATCTGCAGTTCCCTCTCAGCAGGGGGGAAAGAGAATTAAATGAGCTCATCGTATTTTAAATGGGGTTAAAATGGGCTACGTAGGGCAGGATTGGGGCCACAGCATCCCTGTGGGCTGGGGGGCTGCTCGAGGTTTGCCCTCGCTCGCAGGGGGCTCAGAGAGGGGGGGGAAAGGGAAGGAAAAAGGAAATTTCTGCAAGAAGCATTGAAATCTTGTGAGTTGGGAAGGTGGAAATGGTGATGCAGAGACCCGGCGCTTGCAGATGTGGCCTTTCTGTTGTTGCAGAGCTCTGTGGGATGTGGGATGGGGTACCAGGGTGGGAATTTTGGGGTGTTTGGGGTGTCAGCGTGGAGCTGTGCATGGGGTGGGTTCTCACCCTGGTGCTGGTGCCTGTAGCTTCCTCCTGCAGCCAAGCCAGGTCTGCTGGGGCATCCCCAGCGAGACCTCAAAGTCTCAGGGGGTTCTCGGGGACCAACTGTCCTCCTCACTGTGACATGGGGACCCCCAAGTGTTGAGAGATTTATAGGAACTGGGGGCCTTTTCCACGCGACGGAGCGGGACGGGCCGTGGCAGCTTGGCATTTCCATCGCTTCCTCCTTTTACATCCCTTTTTCTATTCCTGCCCTCGGCACGTTGCCCGAGGGGCCGCCAGCCTCTGCCCTCCCCAGCGAGCCAAAACCAGAAGTGGGACCTCAACGAGACAGTTTGTCGTTAAAAATAACCCCGGGGGCCCGTCTCCGGCAGCGTTGAACCAGGGACAGATCTTCCCTGGGGCAGGAGATCCGTGATCGATGGGGTGACAGCAGCCCTGTCCCCTGGCACAGGGCAGCACGTACAAGCAGACTCATCCCTGCCCGAGCCCCTTCAGCCCTTTCCATCCTTTGCTTCCCCAAATTAATTCCCTCTTTTTCTTCCCCCAGTTGCCGGAGCAGCAATAGGAAGAGCTTAGTGGTGGGCACCCCCTCTCCGACCCTCTCGCGGCCTCTCTCCCCTCTCTCCGTGCCAACAGGTAAGGGGTGTCCTAAGGGATGGGTTGAGCATCTCCCAAATTTACTCCCAAATTTTGCAGGGTACCCCTTCTGCTTCTGCAGCACCTTCTTAGCAGCAGGGGGCTGGGTGCCTTTTCCAGGAGGGAATGGCTTGGGATGTGATTTGCTCCCCTCTTTTCCCTGAAGCCTGTGGCACCCCGGGCATCTCTGCAGCACCTTCTTAGCAGCAGGGGGCTGAGTGCCTTTTCCAGGAGGGAATAGCTTGGGATGCGATTTGCCCCCCTCTTTCCCCTGAAGCCTGTGGCACCCTGGGCATCGTGCTGGAGCGGGTCCAGAGAAGGGCGACAAAGATGGTGAGGGGTCTGGAGCACAAGTCTTATGAGGAGAGGCTGAGGGAGCTGGGGTTATTCAGCCTGGAGAAGAGGAGGCTGAGGGGAGACCTTATTGCTCTCTCCAACTCCCTGAAAGGAGGGTGTAGAGAGATGGGGGTCGGTCTCTTCTCTCAAGTCCCAGGCGACAGGACAAGAGGAAATGGCCTCAAGTTGCACCAGGGGAGGTTCAGGCTGGATATTAGGAAAAAATTTTTCACTGAAAGGGTTCTCAGCCATTGGAATGGGCTGCCCAGGGAGGTGGGTGAGGCCCCATCCCTGGAGGTGTTCAAAAGACAGGTTGATGTAGTGCTGGGAGGTCTGGTTTAGTGATGATGCTCCTTGTTTGTTGTGCGGGTGTCTATTTTTGTCAGTCAGGTTGACGGTTGGACAAGATGATCTTTCAGGTCCCTTCCAACCTAGAAGATTCTGTGATTCTGTGATTCTGTGTTGGGGTGGGTATTGGGGTGACTTTCCCCCCTTTCTCCCCACAGCTGGGAGCAGCCCCTTGGACAGCCCACGCAACTTCTCCGCCAGCACCTCCATCAACTTCCCCTTCGCTCGCAGGTGAGCTCCCGGATCATTAAACGTTGGTTAATAATGATAATCCACCAGCTGGGGCTGTCCCGTTGATCTCAAGTGATTTGTTGTGATTTGTTTTGTTTTTCTTTCTCCCTCGTTTTCGCCCTGGGGTTGTTTGCTCTGCGGTCACCGGTGCTTCCCACCACCCCAGCCATGCTCCTCGGACTGACAGGTGAGTACCGGGCACAGGATGGGGCTGTTCCAAATTGTCACGGCCCTTTTTCATATCCATCCCAGATATTGCTCCGGGACAGGGCTCCCCACAGCTCTGGGAGCAGAAATATGATTCAAGGATATGATTCAGAAAGATGATTCAAGGATTGGAGCATCTCCCTTATGAGGAGAGACTGAGAGAGCTGGGACTCTTTAATCTGGAGAAGAGAAGGCTGAGGGGAGACCTTATCAATGCCTACAAGTATCTCAAGGGAGGGTTGAAGGAGGAGGGAGC